GGAAGTGTGGTGCCTCAGATGACACTTGTGTTCTGGGACTTGCGGAATCACTAGTGAGGACACTTATTGATGGGTAGCGGTCAGGTAGCTTGATGCAGATACTGTCTCTGAATTAGACCTTGAGGGTCAGTAATGTGAATATTTCAATAATAATAATAGCGTTTCCCATTTACTAAATTCTCTGATGTTCCAAGCATTTCACATTACCTTATATGACCCTCAAAACAGTCCCATTTTACAACTGAGGAAACAGAAGATCCCAGAGAGGAAGCCATTTTCCCACAGCCATACAGCTGATAAGGCCCAGAGTAGGGATGTATCCACGTCTGGTGGATTCCAGCTGCTTCCCCTGCCTGCTGCCCAGACAGGGCAAGACGGCGTCTTCAGGGGGGTGGATGAGGCATCCCAGGAAGGGGACACAGCACAAGCAAAGGCCTGGGAGCTGGAAAGAGGGGAGGCCAGGACAAAGAGGCCCTGAGCAGTCTGGGGATTGGTGGGGGCTGAGTGGCACTGAGGGCAAGGGTGTGGGTTCCAAGGACAGAGGCGCGCTGTCCACGGGGGGCAGCATAGCCAGCTGGAGAGCCCGGGAGGACGCATCTGCCTCTGGAGATGCGCCCAAGGGAATGGCAGGCTCCCTCCAGGAGGCCGCTCTGACTCCAGAAGCATCTCATCGTTAGGTGTTTGGGGCCGTTGGCGCATTGCAGACATGGAGGATGGCAAATGCTCTTGCCTTCTTCGTCTTGACAGCTCCAGGGAGGGGAGACCAGCCAGGGCCTGGCCATGCGCTGTGTGACGCCACGGCCCTCGCTGCCCCTCTCTTGTCCGCCTGCACACGGAGACAGGATTCAGTACCGGCTCTCCCAGCTCTGAACCACAATCCCAGCTTCTAGACTGAAGTCAGGCAGCAAGGATGATTCCCCAGATTATGCCAAAAGGCCCTGTTTGGGTCCAACTCCCCGACACTAAGCTGGAGTCACTGGGGAAGGACAGAGTAGTAGTGAAGAGTGTGTGGTCTGGACTGTACAACACACTCAAGGCCCAGCTCTGGAAGCCCTGGGCATGGACCTGGAGCAAGGCACTCACCTCTCAGGGCCTCAGATACCCTGGGTAAACTCAGGGCTGCTGACACCCACCTCTGGGTGAAGTGAGCCAAGGCACCCAGGCGGTGGGCGAGAGGGGTCCCGCGGCGCTGTTCATTTGTCCCCTTGGTTCACAGCCATGACTCACTCATTCACCCCGTGAATACTCACTGAGACTTCTGAAGGCACGGGCAGGGCAAAGTTGGTGCAACTGCTGCAGAATGAACGAATAAGAGCACAGGCTAAGTGCTGGGTGAGCGCGCACCTCAGTTCATCCTCTCAGCAGCCTGTGAGGGAGGTGCTAGATGAGGACATTGAGGCCCAGAGAGGTGAACTACCTTGCCAACAGTTACACAGCAAAGAAGGGGCAAAAATGGGATTCAAACCTATTCTCTTGAGTGAATTAATTCATGGAGATGTGTATTCCTAAATCCCAGGACATATTTAGGAATAAGGGATGGGCAAGGCTATTCTTTCCATCCCCCAAGTTAATTATTTGGCTACACTATGATCGTAACCTCTCTGCAAAGGCTTATCCTATTCTAAGCAATAATAACAGCAACAAGCACTCACATTTATTGAGCACTTACTCTGTGCCAGGACTTCCAGTCCCTGTCCTCTCAGCACTTGAGGAGGCAGGTGCTACCATTATTCCCATTTCACAGATGGGAAACTGAGACTCAGAGAGGTTAGGGAACATGCCCTGAGTCACAAGGCATGGAAATAGTGGCGCCAGGACTGAAACTCAATCTGTCTCAGGACGCCCTGTGTCCGCCAAGATACCCCTAGATAGGTTATGAGGTCAGAGTTTCGGTTTGAGTGCTGGCTCTGCCGTTGGCTGGCTGGTGAAGCCGGTACCTCTGTGGCAAAGTCAAGGTAACAATGCTGACCCTGGTGGGAATGAGACTCCGTTGATATGACTGATGTAAAGCCTGGGGTGGCACCTCCACGTTATAGATGCTTAATATGTCATCACTGCTCCCGTTTTCATCCTTTTCCCCATGGGAGTGGCCGCCCAGGAGGCAGGGAGCCCCTTGCAGAGGCCACGCTGTGCCCGGTCCAGCTCCCCTGCCACGTGCCCCCAGTGCCCCACCCACCCCTCGCGTCAGCCAGATCCTCCTTTCTCCAAACCTCAGGAAGCTGGAGTTTGAGGTGGGGCTGTGGTTCACCAGATGCCACAAATATTTACCTTGGAGACCTCAGCCCAGATGCAGAGGGTGTACAGGATATAAGGCTGGACTTGCAGACCCACTGCCCAGGTGAGAAGAGCAGCAGGCCGAGGCCTCCACGTGTCCAGGTAAAAGGGTAGGGAAGGGGCTAAGGGCCTACATCACCAGGAAGGGACTGAGCTGGAGACATCTGTTGGGGTCAGGTCAAGAGAAGGAGGGAGGCCTGGCCCCAGTGTAAGATCCCTCAGTCCACTAGGACCTCTGAGGGTCAGGGCCAGGGGGTAGAGAGGTGCCCAGCTTCCTCACCCAGGAGACCAAAGAGCAGTGATGAGGGACTGGACTGGCCCAGTCTTTCCCTGACCTCATCCCCACGACATTAATCCACTCTGCACACACCAGCTGCTCTGTGGCCAGCCCTATGCTGGCGTGATTCTGGGGATAAGAACTATCAGACAGTCCTGGCCATCAAGAAACTCCCAGTATGGGCCAACATGGTACCTGCTGTGCTCAAGGAAAGCCCAGGGACATGGTGGTGGAGGACAGTCAGGGAAGGCTTCCTGAAAGAGGTGGTATGTTGGTGGAGAAGCTCAGTAGAAGTTGGATCGGCAAAGGAAGAGAGAAAGGTATCTCATGCAAAAGGAACAGCATAGGCAAAGGCCAAGAGGTGAGCTGCAACGTGGTGTGTGTGTGTGTGTGGTGCTTGGACTTGTAGAGGAGACAATTTTCCACAAGAGGGGAGGCTACTGTCCTCTCGCTTCCCTGAGCACCTCTGGTCAGAGGAGGACAGAGGGGTGTGAATTGATAATGAAGGCAAAAGAGAATCAAGGTATTTGAAAGAAAAAGACAGTGGGGTGGGGCCGGGGGGCTTCCCGGGTAAAAGAGCAGGGTGCAGGCAGGGCGTCACCGCTGTCTTCTGACTCTGACTGCAGGGTGGCTCCTTCTGAACCTAGTATTAGCAATAATAACTCTCATCATCGGAATAACAGCTAACACTCATTGAGTGCTTGCGGCATGCCAGGCCACAAAGGGATGGTCCTACTTAATCCTCCCCAAAACCCTGTCATGTAAGTATTATTATTATTACCCCTTACTTTATAGATGAGAAAACTAAGGCAGAGAGGGTAAGTCACTTGCTTGAGATCACACAGCAAGTGGTAGGTAGAGGCAGGCCTCCAATTCAGGTCTGTCTGACTCCCAGGCCCACGATATTTCTCCTCCACCCTCAGGTCTCCTGAGACTCAGGTATGAGGGTCCTATGACTTGACAGGGGTCCTCGTGGCCCAGACCTTCCCAGATTAGCAGGCTCACATTCTCCCACTATTCCAGGGCTCCCAGGGGCCATTCATTCATTCAGCAACCATTTACTTACTAAACACCCACTGTGTGCCAGGCACTATGCTGGATGCTGGGGACACAGTGGGGTGCAGGTAGACCCAACCCTTCCTCCCGGAGCCCTTGGCCTGGTCAGGAAGGCAGATATTGAATCGTTATTGCAAGTGCGTCAGAGAGCTCACACTGCGCCAGCTCACAGAAGACACTCGTCATCCAGATGCCATGTCTCTCTGAGGCAAAAGAAACCCGGGTGCTGAGCCAAGCAAGCGCCCAGGTCTCTGGGTCAGGATCCTCCGTCCCTCCAAGCAGGACTGCCCATAGGAGGCAGAAGCTGCTCTAGGGTGCTTGGGGGCAGAGCCAGGGTGCAGGCTGGCGAGCTCAGGATGAGGTTATAGCTGCTGATGCTCCACACCCTGCAGGGGACAGAGCAGCCCAGGAGCAAGGACACCACAAGCTCCTCTCCCAGGAGGCACCCACGGGCCTCTCCTCTCTCTTTCTGCCTTTCTCTTCCTGGCTCCAAACAGCCACCTACTCCCTCCTCAAACCACTGAGTTTTATGAATTAAGCAAAGAGCTTTCCTACCACTTTGCACCTTACCTGAATTCTCATCTCCCTCCGGCCCCCAAACTTCCTGTTCTGGGCACACACCAGCCCCCAGGGTGACATTTCTCCAAGTGTGGTCCAGGCTCCCTGGTTGCAGGAGAGGGAAAGCTTTATAGAGAAAGGGACATGTAAGCAGTTTTCAAGAATGAACAGGAGTT